CTCAGGATACGCCCAGAGTCATGGAACGCATTAAGTTCGTATCCCGAGGTACCACTGTATTTAATAGGTATATGAAGATAACTATTCAAGAACTGCCAGAACACTACTGGAATTGCCAGATTGCCATGATCTGGAAGAAAAACAGAACATTCCGGAGTTCCCCAGAATGTTCTCTCTCTGGAGACAAAGAATAGCAGTTCTTACCAGATTAACTCTTCCTCATTTTTGGTCAGCTAACTTCTTGAGTAAATTGGGGAAATGCTGTGCGTGCAGCTTTAAAACATTTTGACAAGTATCCAATGACATTCTGCACTCTAGTTAAGTAATAGGTTGGATGGCAACACAATTAAGTGGGTACATCACTAGCTCATTACTTGGCTTTTTACATTTAATTTTTATTTAAATTAAACTTTAATCTAATTGTTAAATATCGTAGAGATGGAATGCTTATTGAAAAAGTGTACACGTTTGAGCGGGAAATACTTCTAAAGTAATACTTTAAAAGACAAAATTCAAAATGATTTTGACAGATTAAAGGAATTGTTTGAAAATAAAATGGAATAGACAAATGCAGAGTACTCCACTTAAGAAGTAGAAAAGTACAGATAATAGGATAGCTTGGCATCTGTAAAAAAAAGTAATGTGAAGAGAGATTTGAAGAACTTGGAAAAGTTAGGCTTGAGAAGATGATGGAGAATATGATAGCACACTTCAAATAGCTCAAAGGTTGTCACAGAAAAAGTGTCAGGATCTATTTTCTGCTATTCCAAATTGCAGGACATGGAAGAATAGATTTAAGTTACAGAATGGCAGATCCTGATGGAATCTTAGGGAAAAAAGACTTCCTAACTGTGAAAAGGATTTGGCAGTGGACACAATTACCCAGAGAGAAAGTGGACTCCTGTTCGCTAAATGTGTCTGTGCTGAGGCTAGATAGCCATCTACCATGGACGCTTTAATTTGGATTCCTGCAGTCAGTAGGGAGTTGGACTCAATAGCCTAAATGTTCTCTTCCAACACACTGATTTTGAGAATTTTTTTCAGACAAAAATTCCTGTTTCCTTTTATATTGTGTCAAAACTAGGTTTCATGCTATGCTATGTGTGTGTTTGTTATTTTTGTAATTTTAAAATTTATCTTAAGTTTTACAGAAAGAAGTAGGAAAAGAATAGCAAAAAACCGAAAAAGAAATGTGTGCAGTGTGAGGATTCCCCCCCCCCTTTTCTTTGCTCTAAAGCAAGGCATTGTTTTGATATCATATGATACACTTTGCAGAAAACATAGAAATTTACATCGAATGTGTATTTGCAGATTATACAATTTATGAAAATATTATGAAACTTTATTTTTAGATTAGAAACCACTGTATTTTTCAGTGTCAAGAGCTGTACTTTGCTTTCAAGTAGTGTCTTGGGGGCCACTATGAAACGTGAGAGGAATTTAAATTAAATCTTTAAAAATTAAATAAATGAAACCAGATTTGAATTAGATTAATCAAATATAGATAACACAGTTAACATATGTAATAATTGATAGTCTTTCCTTGTTGAATACATTAACTTTTATCTTCTGCCACATACAGATTAAAGTGCCTAATCTCTGTTCTCGGTAAAATCCATAGATTTCTTACTTTCTTCCATTTAGCATCAGATACAATTCATTTCTGCCAGCCTGAGAAACCAGAGTTTCTTCAGTGTGCTGATTCATCTATACAGAGGGCAGGAGGTTGGAGTAAGAGGGAAGGATTGTTTATGTGGAAAATGAAGGAACAAGGATATCTTTTTCTTTGTAATAGCAGATTGTTGAGGGGTATCCATGAAGTGTTAGTCATGCCTTCGCAGAAATTAAATGGCAAATTATTAGCATTAAGTCTAGGGTAAGAAGCAGCTGCAGTGGATAGCAGTGGCAGTAAGTAAAAAGGGAGAGACATTTTGTGACCTCAGAAAGCAGCAGCAATAAATGGGGGAGATATTTTTGCACAGCTTGCTGATCTTATTTTCTTATTCCCTGTCACTTTAGTAGCATATCCTCCTATACCCAAATTTATTAGCAGCCTGTAGAGATTAGAGCTACTATATCTGTGTTGCTTAAATCAGAATGACTGCTAGATGGCAGCAAACAAGTATGCAAAACTTTATTTGTCATCTGGATTTTTGCAGCTCAGTACTGTAGCCTAATGGATTATGCACCTCTGTTTTGTTTTACACAGGCTGTATAAATTAACATTTCTGTTATGAAATGCTTTCCCTCATTGGAAAGGAGAGGAAGCAATTCTCCATCTCCTCCAGCCCTTCCTACATCTGCTTTGAAATGTTGGGAGGAGAATGGAGGCACTTTTTTCTCTCAAATATAATATTTATTCTGATTAATTCAGTATCTAGTTATGGAGAAATTTCCCTTTTGAATTTAGTAATGTTGCAATAATGGAGCATCCACCTGGGTTGTTTATTATTTGCAAGTCTTCTAAAACTTAACTGTCCTAAATATTTTAAGAAGTAGCAATGATTAAATATGTTTATTTGTTTTATTATTGAAAAGGAAAAATGATTAAATATGTTTTATGTTAAATTGGTCCTCCAGTTCATGGAATTGAGTTTAAGGGTATTTTAGTCTATCATAGAGCAGAGCTGTACCATGATTTATTTATTTAAAAGCCATTATTAACATGACACCAAACCTTTCAGATAAATTTGAACAGGTAGATATAATTCTACCTGTTCAAATTTATCTGAAAGTTTTGGTGTCATGTTAATAATGACTTTTAAATAAATAAATCTTAATATTATACATGTCTGAAACCTACATATAATTAATAAGGGTAGTAAAATGAAATGTTTAATGCATTGCTAATCTGCAAATTCATTCTGCAATATGATGTACTAATGAATACTGTCTTTTCTTCTAGGAAATTCCAAGTTAAAGCAAATATTGCATTCTGCATGATTTGAAGGCTTTCGAGTTTAATCTGTTCTGTGCCTGTTGGCTGAAGGAATGTAAACCATAAGTTTTTAGACCTGAGCAAAAATTGGCAAAGTACAGTTAACAGGTAAATATTTCTTGATAGTGAATTAGATGTAATGGAATACATAACCGATCTCTATCCAGCTGTTGAGACTTTACGTATTAATAGATTATATTTGGAACAGGCATATGCTAAAGATGTTCTGTTTTCTTAACTATTCTCTACAGTATTTGTGAGTCTTCAGTTTCAGACATCTTTCTCTATAGAAGTCCATTAGCTTCATATTAACAAAAATTTAATAGCACAGTTAGTAACCTATAATTAACTATGTTCCCTTGTGCACCATATACATTAACCATATTTTAGATATTATTTTTGTCAATCAGGAACAACATTATCCATTATGTAACTCAGTATATGTAAGTAACCTGGTACTATAACCTATTTTGTAGAGAATTTATGAGATGAATTGAATATTATAAATGTTGCACATATCAATTCCTGTGCACATAAAGAATAGCAAAAAAATTAGTATAGTAGTATTTTCATTTGGTATATCTAAAACCTATTTCTTCCCACAACAACAACACTGTGACATAGGTTAGGCTGAGAGTGACTGCCCCAAAGTCCAGTGAACTTCCATGACTGAACCTGGGTCTCCCCACTCCTAGTCTAGCATCTTAACCACTGTACCACACTGGTTGTTTGTTACTTTATTTATGGAGCTTATTGCAACATACTATATAAGGCTGAATAGCAATATTCTTATTCCTCGAAATGTTCACAATTAAATCCAGGACTCTAATTCTCTATTTGTGACTTCTGAGAAACTAGAAGGTCATTTGGGACTTTCCTATGATTTCTGAACATCATTGATTCATAGAATATTGTGGATGCCATTTAGTTTATATGTGTTGATCTGAAATAGTTGATGTTCACTATATACTTCTGAGTTGTCTGATCTATAGATACTATTTAAATATGTTGGCTTTTGGGGAAAACATAACATGACTGTTTATAGGAACTGTACAAAGCATTTGAAAGAAGTACTTTGCAAAATGTATTAGTGTAAAAGAAGCAGTTCTCTTCAGAGGATTAGAGCAGCTGCATGCATGCACATACATGCAGAGGCAGTTGGGGTCAGCTTTTGAAGCAGCAGCATGAGGCTTGCAAAAGATGCAGCTGTTTTCATTCTTTGAATATGGGTGCTTTGTGATGCTAACATGATTTCCAAAGCACCTGTTTCAAATGCTTTGAAGAGCCCTATAGTTAAGTTGTTGCAAGATGTTTCTCCCTCCCCCCTCCATTTTAAAAGCTTTACTGTAAATAAGAAATTGTCTTAACTTTATATCTAGATGTTGGGCTAGTAAATACTGTTTTAGATTACCATGAGTACTATTTTAATGTTTCTTCTTCCTACATATGGATTCGCATGCTTGTGTTCTGTTCATAACTCCATTTAATTGAATGCTTTAATGCAGTCTCCCTGTTCAGAAAAATCTGATGGCATAAACTTTGACTATATAACTGTTCCTTATTACAGCTGGGAGATAAGTATGTGTATCTGCTAATCCATATTTAAAATAGGAGAACAAATAAAATAACTCTGCATATGGAAATTACTGTGGCTAAAGATTTACAGGTTGTGCAAATGTAAGATGAGATTTGTGATTCCTGATTTGTACATTGCTTTTTTATTATTTAGCAAGAAAAAGATAAATACTATATATTCCAAGGTTTTTGGCTTGTTTATTTTGTCCATAGGGCACTCTAGTCACTTAACACAAACATTTAACATTCATTTTCAAAAGCTAGAACTTATGCCAACTATGAAAGCCTGGTTGAAAGGCATTTATTTCTTAAAAGTGGAATGGGTAAGGACTGAATACATGTCCTGTTAGAATGCATTCCATAATTTGGTTATATTTCCAAAGCAGACTAAAATAATTCTTTATCGTAATTTGGCTGTTTTGAAGACAGACTTTGCATAGCTGGTCAGGTATCTTTTCATGGTTTTTGTGCTGTATTATGATACTTACTCTATTCAGGATCAAATTTTCTTTTGCAGATACCTTTGTAAATTAGGAAACATGGGTGCATTTTTGGATAAACCAAAAACTGAGAAACATAATGCTCATGGGGCAGGAAATGGCCTGCGTTATGGCCTCAGCAGTATGCAAGGTTGGAGAGTTGAAATGGAAGATGCTCACACAGCTGTTGTAGGAATTCCTCATGGTTTGGAGGACTGGTCTTTCTTTGCTGTTTATGATGGTCACGCAGGATCTCGTGTGGCAAATTACTGCTCAAACCACTTACTAGAACATATCACTAACAATGAAGACTTCAGGGGAACAGAACAGCCCGGCTGTGCTCTTGAACCTTCAGTAGAAAATGTTAAGAGTGGAATCAGAACTGGCTTTTTGAAAATTGATGAATATATGCGCAATTTTTCAGACCTCAGAAATGGCATGGACAGGAGTGGCTCAACAGCAGTGGGAGTTATGATTTCACCTGAGCACATTTATTTTATCAACTGTGGAGACTCACGTGCTGTTCTGTATAGGAATGGACAGGTCTGTTTTTCAACACAGGATCACAAGCCTTGCAATCCAAGGGAGAAGGAGAGAATCCAGAATGCAGGAGGGAGTGTCATGATTCAGCGTGTTAATGGCTCATTAGCAGTGTCTCGTGCTCTGGGGGACTATGACTACAAATGTGTTGATGGCAAAGGTCCTACAGAACAACTTGTTTCTCCAGAACCAGAGGTTTATGAAATTGTAAGAGCTGAAGAGGATGAATTTATTGTCTTGGCTTGTGATGGAATCTGGGATGTAATGAGCAATGAGGAGCTCTGTGAATTTGTTAAATCTAGGCTTGAAGTATCAGATGATCTGGAGAAAGTGTGCAATTGGGTAGTGGATACTTGTTTACACAAGGTATGTAATTTTTTCAAACTTTTCAGACCAAAGGTTACTTTGGATGTTCTTTTTATTGCTAAAACTGAACAAAACTTAATTCTAAAAATAGTGTAGATTTGGTATTAATGAGTCTGCCTTCATGTGACTGCAGTCTTTTTAGGCATTCACCTGCTATTTGTTTGGGCTTGGCACTGTATTTTATACAACCCAAATAGCACTTTTAAATTCTTCACAACTAGTTTCTATTTACTCTTAAAACTTAACATTCATCTTTACTTTGAAGGAGAATATTTAAAACACCCAAAAGCTAGATTTTTTTTTTTTTAAATGAAGGAAAGGGAGTATTCTTCCAGAAAAAAATGCTTAGAAATTGTTTGTGGTTTGCCTTTCAGTGTTTAAGCTCTTCCCCTCCCCCATCCAAACCAGTATTTATTACCATTGATTTTTCCACAGTTTTCATTTGATAAGAATGACATGTCACATTACTATTTAAAGCACATGTATAGCCTTTGGGGTAAAGTTTAAAATTTCCACAATTAAGGATACAGAAATTCATACAAGTATATGTTCAAACTGTTTATTATTTGCAAACAAATAATATCCAATCTTCAATTTTGTAAAACTTAAATTGAATAGAATGTAGTGCATATGTTTTACTTTTTTTTTTTTTAAAGCAGAATCTGATTTCCAAAATGTTAATAACTCAGAAATATTCAAGTATCTAAAATTGTTTAAAAGAATTTCAGTCTTTTATATATTATGGAATTTAGACTAACTGATACATAAAATGTATAAGGGCTCCTATAAATCAATCTAATCTATCCCCCTGCTAGTGAGAAAATCCACTAAATCACCCCAATAAGTGGCTATTCAGCTTCCAGTGAGGGGAAGTTTATCACTATTGAGGTCACACTGTTAACAATTCTTATCTCCAGGAAAGGCTTATATTCAGCCAGAATCCTTTCTTAATTTCAACTTATTTATCCTTGTTAAGGATGTGCAAAACTCACTGATTCTGGAGGAATCTGGTACATTCCAGTTTGCCTTCAGACATATGAAACTTCCTCTCAGACCAAGCTGTTCTAGGGGTGAATGTTCTGTTCCTAAATTGGTGAGTTTTGCATATCCCTAGTCCTTGCCCCAGTCAAGGTATCAACAAGAATAGGTCTCCTCCCTCTTGCATGTGACAGCCTTTTAAATATCTGTAGACTACTACGATGTCTTCCCTCTGTTTTTCCTTTTGCAGGCTAAACCTGCCCAGTTTTCTCAATAATTCTTTGTAAGGCTTGGTTTCCAGACCCCTTATCCTAGTATCCTCTGAACCCGCTCCAGCTTCTCCATGTCCCTTTTAAAGTGTATTACCCCTTCTCTTTTACCATACCTATTCTTTGGGACAACATTCACCCCCAAATTCCATATGGTCTTGACCCTGTTCTTCCCAAGGATTGAGCTAGGATAATGTATGTACCTGCTATTTATGATGTAATTTAGTAATTGAGAATGTATCTACCACCCCAGTGTAGTCCCCGGGTTAAGAACACCCGGTTTAAGGATGAACAGGTTAAAACAGGTTAAAAACAGAGCCTATTGTAGCAAAATTTGAGTTAAATATACAATGATTCGGGTTAAATACACAATGGTTCAAGTTAATTACACAATACTACTTATACAGTATGATACGATACTACTGTTCCAGCTTACATAGAAATTCGTCTTAAGGACAGACCTTGGGAATGGAACTCATTCTTAAACTGTATTGTTGTTATTAACTGCTCTTAAACCACTATATGCTGCTCAGAATCACTGATGAGAGTATGGCCTTAGAAATTGAAATTATAAATAAATATAAATTAACAAACTGGACACAGTATTCCCAACTGTAATCAAACCAGTGCAGAGGAGAGGGAAACTCTTTTAGCACCTGACATCTATACACAGTACTTTTGTTAATGCAGTCCTAGACTATACCAGCCTTTTTACCTGTTGCATCTTACTGCTTGCTGATATTCAGCTGGTGGTTGGCTAGTTCTCCAAGATCCTTTCCATATGCACTGCTACCAGGTCAGATCTCTGCAGTCCTGTATCTTTGTATCTGCTACTTCCTACCCAGGTGTAGACCCTTCCAGTTCTCACTGCTGAACTTTATTCAATCTTGCTAAGTATTTACTGAATTATGATTTTATCTTCTGAAGTATTAGCCAGTCCCCTTACTTTGAATCATCTGCAAATTTGTTAAGCATTCCTTTCATTCCCTCCTCTAGATCATTTATAAAGAATAACACTGGGCTGAGGATGGTGCCCTGTGCGACCCCTACTTGAACTTCCCTTAAGGATCAAGTAGAACCATTTATGAGCATTCATTGGATATGGTTGTGCAATCAGTTGTATATCCATGAGACTACAGTATCCTCTAGCTCATATGTATCCATCTTGTCCACAGTTGATAAGAATAATATTTTGTTTAATTATAGTTACATAAATTAAAAAAGGAAATCAAGGAGGAAGAGGTGCAGCTGTTCAGTGGAAAGTGGAAATGGTCCTTCATGTGCATGCAAACATGCCCACATCCCTACTGATGCAATACTTTGGATCTGAATAGTTGAACATTGCTGCAAAATGATACATTGTATGAGACGTTTTGAATTCATGTATGTCATGTGGGATAAGCCACCTAAGCGCTACTTTATTTAAGGGAAAATTCAAAGTTGGGTGAGCAGGGCCACTTAGTCAGTTGGACTTTTATTCAGCCCTGCAGGCCCAACTCCCTAAAGTCCCCTGTACTCCAGAGAAGATTTTGAAGGCATGCAGAGAGGAAATGGAAATAGTTCATCTTTGTTTTTCTGTTAGAAACTGCTTAGACAATAGAACAATTTAACGGGATTTCACCTAAATAATTAAATTTGGAAATAAAAAATGTATCTGACAAACAATTGCACATAGTTTTAAAATATTTTAATTGAATAAGTATGTGATCTAAAATTGTGAAAAGGACAAGCATTCATCTCAAATATGTAATATTTTTTCCTCCCCAAATATAGGGAAGTCGTGATAATATGAGTATTGTTCTAGTTTGCTTTTCAAATGCTCCCAAGGTCTCAGATGAGGCAATGAAAAGAGATGCAGATTTGGATAAGCACTTGGAATCACGGGTGGAAGGTAAGAAATTAACTTATGTATTAGTTTTTTTTTCCTCCTAGAAATAATTGGGGCAACTTGAAATACAGGTGGACTAGAGCACAGCTTTTGTACGAGAAACAGAATGCCATGGATGTGCACCTGGACCACATGAGTCAGAGCAATCTAGAGTAGATGCTGATGCAGCTGTTTGTCTTAGAGCCTGCAGATTGTTCAGCAGAACAAAGTTTCTTATCTTGCAAAATTTGTAAATGTATATTTAAGTTAGGCTTGTTAGTTCATTGCTGATGGGAATAGTTTCTTATATAATAGCAGACCTTTCTGAAGAACAGGTAATGTGAATAGCTAGCTGACAGATTTAAGAAAATTTTGTTAAAACCTAATAACAAACCTATAATGTGAAGTTGTATTCAGTTGCAGAATGTGTTAAATTGTAGAAATACTGTGTATATACTAAACCTGAAGTCAAAATTGGAAATGTCAGTTGTTTTGGGGGGATTTTGGGGGTTAATAAAAATGCTTGTTAATCCTAGTAACTGCCTGGACACAACTTTGCAGTTTTCTTCACAACAGTCAGAAGCGGTTGGCCTTTTGGTTCTGGAATTTTTCATGCCCACCTCCCACTGCAGGGAGGTAGAGCCTATTTAGTCAGTCCATCCCAGGCAACTGATGGACTTTTTGAGTTCCAAAAGGAGCTTGGGGTTTTTCCAGAAGCTCTGGAGCACAGTTTGGTCAACTGTGGTCCAAGCCTGGAATGAGCATATGACGAGGGCCTTGGATTGGATTGCCCCTTGTGGACTGTGCTTGTGGATCCTGGAGAGCTCCTTGACTTACCAAAGAGTTGTGGGAGATGAAACAACACAAGAGGCACCTAGAGCATTGCTGGCAAAAGATGAAGAGCAAGGCCAACTAAACACAGGTGAGAGCCTTTATTGGAACTTACCTTGTGGCAATAAGAGCAGCAAAGGGAGTTTACTTCTCTGCTTTTATTGTGAATGCAGATAACTGACTGGTGACCCTGTTTAGGGTGACCAGATCCCTTCTGGGTAAGGAGGGACTGGGGGAGTCCTTGTTTGGCTGCTGTGAAGAATATTCTTGGCATCTGTCAGATAAAGTTGCTCAACTTCTCTTGGAGTTGGGAACTGGCTGGGAGGGCCTATGGAAGTGACTCTGGCATGTCTGAGCTCCACTATCTAGGAAGAGTTTGATCTGGTTACTACTGAGGAAGTGGATAGGGTCCTCAAGGCTGTGAGTTCTGCTACCTGTGTGCTGGACCCATGCCCCTCCTGGTTGGTTAAGTCCTCCTGAGAGATGGCATGCAGTTGGGTTCATGTGGTGATGAATGCCTCATAGTGAGAAGGGGTGGTGCCATCTTCCTTGAAGGAGGCAGTTATACCCTTACTTAAGAGGTCTTCCTTGGACCCAACTGTGTTAGACAACTTTCACCCAATTTCCAACCTCCCCTTTTAGGGAAGGTTGTTGAGAGAGTAGTGGGTGCTCAGCTTCAGAGGGCCCTGGATGAAGTAGATTATCTGAACACTTTTCAGTCAGGGTTCAGGCCACATTACAGCATTGAGACAGCATTGGTCATACTTGTGGGTGACCTCTGGAGGGCTTGAGATGGTGGTGGTGCATCCATCCTGGCCCTCCTGGATCTCTCAGCAGCATTCAATACCACTGACCTTGGTATCTTTCTGGACCAGCTCTGGGGGTTGACCGGGGAGCTGTTTTGCAGTGATTCTCCTTCCTCTGTGGCAAGTTCAACTCAGTGTTGGGGGGGAGAGAGGTCAAGCACTAGGCCCATGTTGGGGGGTGCTTTGTCCCCCCCCTTCAACATCTGCATGATGCTGCTGGGAGATGTTATCCAACATCATGGGGTGTGGTATCATCAGTATGCTGCTGATACCAAGTTATACCTCCTACTACCCCTGGCCAGCCAAGCAGCATTGTCCCAGAGTTGGCCCAGTGCCTGGAGGCTGTAAGGGTTTGGTTGCGGAGGAACTGGCTTCAACTAGCATGACAGAATGGCTATGGATTTTTGGTTCCTCATATATGCTGAGGAATCATCGTTGACTCTTGCCAGGGTTGCACTCCCATGGACAGAACTGGTGCACAGTTTGGGGATGCTCCTGAACTTGTGGCTCCTGGTTGAGGAGCAAGTGGCAGCCGTGTTCATTTTCTCAGTTTCATCTTGCAGGCCAATTGCTCTGTTCCTGAACTGGGAGGTCTTGCTCATAGTCACTCACACCCTAGTCACTTCTGGTTAGATTACTGCAATGCACTCCACATGGGGTTGCCCTTGAAGACACTTCAGAAATTACAACTGGTTCAGAATGCAGCGGTGCATGCAGTTCTGGGTGCCCTGTGGTTTGCCCATGTTACACTGCTGCTCCCTGAGCTGCACTGGCTTTCAGTTCTATTCAGGGTGCTGATTATCATCTTTAAAGCCCTGAATGACATGGGACCAAGTTATTGGCAGGGCTGCCTTTCCCTGAGGGTAACTGCCTGCTCTATCAGGTCCAACAGGGTGGCTGCGCGCCAGGTCCTTAAATGTTGCCATCTAGCAGGACCTAGAGAGTATGCCTTCTCAGTAGCAGGCCTGCCCTTGGAAACCCTTTCCCCTGAGATCAAGCAAGGCCCAACCCTCCCAGCCTTCTAAAAAGACCTAAAGACCTGGCTTTTCCACAAGTGTTGGGGGAGTGTGTCGCTGGAGCCCAAGGAAAGTTGTTTGTGAGTGGTGTGTTGTTTTGGTGGGGTACTAGGTGTGTTTTATATTAGTATTATGCTTTTTATTTTTATTATTGTTTATAAGCCGCTCAGGATTATGATGCATAAGATAGGTAGCTATTATAAATCTAGTAAATAAATAGTTGCCTTCTGGAATATTTCTGACTTCTCAGTCTAGCTTGCAGCCTTGGTATTTCCTATTGGTCTCCTAGAACCAACTAACAGACCTGACACTGCTTAGCTTCCATTCCCAGACAAAGTTGGTCAGGGGCTACAGCCTGCTGAGACTTTTTCATATTAATTCTAACTCAGTGCTGTTTATTTTTCATATAAAGACCAGCCATTTTTTCTCAGCATCCTGGGAATGCATACTTTTTTTACTGTTGCTGAATTACAGTTCCCATCCACTGATGAGGGAAGTTGGGATTTCTAGTTTACCAACTAGATAGAACCCAAGCTGCTCATTCCTTCCTGCTTAAAAAATTCTGTGATAATAGGAATATCCTTAGATTTTTCTCTCTCCTCTTCTCTTCTCTTCTCTTCTCTTCTCTTCTCTTCTCTTCTCTTCTCTTCTCTTCTCTCTTTATGGTGTACAGTGAGTGGCCCAAAGTGGCCCAGCCAGTTTCTGTGCCTAAGGGAGAACTAGAACGTATGGTGTTCTGGTTCCTAATTCAGCATTTAGTGAGTATTACAAAGTTGGCTCTTAGTCATAATGTAATAGGATGAACTCAGGGCCTAGTATAAATACTAAGATGATAGTTGGCACTCATCTCTAAAAATCCATTTCTAAAAATGTCTGTGTCTCTTCCTACCCTATGTTTCAGCACAGGTAAGAATAATATTACCAGTAAGCTGGCTAAAATGTTTTTGATGGCATATATAGTTGAACCTCTTAAAGCTTGAGCTGGATAATATAATACTAGCAGTGACGTGACTGAAAAAAACAAAAGTAATTCTGAATATTTGACATACAACAGAATGAATTAACATTTGAATTAACAGAATGTACATAGAAACTTGGAGCAATCAGTCATTCCTGGTCCAATTGTTCACTTCTGAAACTTAATTGTTTAAGAAAAACTTAATGTGCTTTAGATTTTGTTTATAATGTTGCCCTGTAACTATTGTGACAGTAGGATGTATCCATAAAGGTTTGCCCAAGGTGAACCTCTGAACAGACTTTGCAAAAGGGATTTTACCTAGGAGTCTCATAATCCTATCCAGTGCCACATTCTGCTCTATAGTATCAGCAGTCATGCTCTTTGCATGCTGTATTTTGAAATGTTATAGGCTGTCCTCTAAAAAAGAATGGCTAATATATGTGCTGGTGGCAGGTAGAATGGTAAGTTGATGTGCTGGCAGTGTATTATCTTCAACTGATATGCGCCTGCTGATATGAGCCTTTTAGTTCAGGTAGACCTTTGCAATTTGTTCAGAATGAAAATGAAACTATATTAAAATAACATTAAAGTAACAAACTACTGATAGAATAGCAATTGCTTAGAATATAAACAGAAGAATACAAAGAGTAAAAAGAACAGTTGTAATCTTAAAAGTAACCCATTTTTGTTGTTTTCACACACACACACACACAATACTGCTGAAATGTATAAGATGATTGGGATAACCTAATAAGGATGCCCATTATTGAAAACATCTGCCATATTCTCCATCTCCTGTATTTGTTGTCTAGGTAGGGAATATCAAATGAGATTTTCAAATACCAAGCTAATTATTACATACTGGCTGGTGAACTGTTTGGTGTGTCATTATTATGTAGGTTTTGATTTAGAGAAGATGAAAAGTATTAATGACTGAATGTTTTAGTTATAGTCTGGTTTATAAGGCATATTTTAATGCTGCACTTTTCAGAGCTGATAGTAGGGTGATTCTTAATCACATCGTTCCCATATCATCAAGTAACAATCCTTTTTTTATACTCTAAGGCAAGTGCTGAAAGAATAGAACATGTTTAAGGAGTCAAACTGTGTTTTTGTTCTGTTCAACCAGTTATTAAATTGTATTTAAAAAAATAAGTTTGAAGATTTGGTCTACTATTTAAGTGGTTTCTTTAAATCTTCTAATGCTTCAGTGTTCCCTTTGCACTGTCCTTGGCACTGTCTGAGTTAATGGTCTGTTGTAAACTCTGTTTTATTAGCTTGTGAAGCTTATTTCCCAAATTCTCATTGAGAAGAAAATAACACATGTTATTTTCATGTATTATTTTCAGTAGTATGGCACAAAGCTTTTCTTTCTTATGAGAAGAGCAGAATGAATAATGTTACGGAGTTATG